TAAATATGAATTAATTTTTTTTCCAGGAAAAAAACCCCGCAAGCCCCATTTTTCTCTTCTTTCTTTCTTTCTATTTTATTTTATTTTATTTTTTTTTACCTTTTGGTGAATTTAACAATTTATCTTCTCTTCTAACAAAGTTATGATATTCATACCTGCTGAGGTTTCTCTAAATTTGTCACTGGTCTTCTTTTTCCTCCATTTCCAAGGCTTAAAGATTTTACCGATGGTGGACAGTTTCCCTTTCCTCTTGAAGGGAGGCGTTTGGGAGCCTGCTGCGGGGCCATCTGAGTTGGCTATGGAAGCTTTGTCCAGTCCGTCAACTGCGTGAAGAAAAGCAAGTCAGAGGAAAGCTGTAATGCCAGTATGAAGCACATCATCCATTCCTTCTTCTACCGTTAACAGCAAGCATGCCCACTTTAATTGGAATCTCAGATAAAGTCTACTTTGCCCCATTTCCCAACTGGCTGAACTCACCTGATATCAATCAGCATAAATGAATTAGAAATCACAGTCCCCTTAGATCATCATTTTATGGATACAGAGAAGCAGGGGGCTTACTTAACAGGTAGGGACAGACCAAGTATGGGTCTTTGAACCAGCTGAATCTATGTGCAACAGCTACATCAACACTGTGTGCAAAATAGAGTATTCTAAATATATCTGAAATAGGATGTTTCCCCATAGGCTAGTTTGGCATTCTCAGTAATGAATATTACAGTTACAGTTTCTCCTTCACAAAGCAAAATTGAGAGCCAAGAAGCTAAATTCTAATTTTCACAATGCTAAAACTATCTTTTGCTTCTGTTACAAAAAAGTTTTCAGCCTCACAGAAAACAATAGCTATCACTACCAACAAGAAATGTGGAACATGTGGGTACTGCCAGTGATAGAACATATCTTTATGTGCCTTGGTCATGTTATTAATCACAAGAAAGGTACAAAACCTAGTTCGCCTTGCACTATGTTCAAAGCAAAAGAAAGATAGTGATGACATCTTACCCCAACTATCAAAATTTAATGGCAAAAAACTGGAATGAGCCCATATTGGATAACAGAATGTTATTTCTGCAGTGAAAAAGCACTTAGCAATTTTTTAAAAAAGAGACCTTGATACACAGAACAACCTGAATGCATCTCAAAAACACTGTGCTAGGGAAAAAGCAACATGCAAAAAGTGCATACTGTGAGGTTCTATTTATATGAAGTTCTAAAGGAGACAAAATAAAT